TAAGACACCTGTATTTTTTTAAGTCCATAGGCTAGATTTTATAGGGAGGAGAGGGGAAGGGGCATAAATGCTCATGGAGGGGGGCTTGGCTTGGGGTGGCGAACACATGATACAGCATACAGAGGATGCATTATAGGACTGTACCCCCGAAACCTGTACAGTGTAACTAACCAATGTCCCCAGTCAATTCAATTTTAAAAGAAGAAAAAAATAATAATTATTCTCCAGGGATCTTCTTGGCATGATCTGGCTGTTAAATTTAACAAAAGTTAACTTCCATCTGCTGCTACTGCTCACACCTGGAAAATTAAAATATGGGGTCTAATGACTACAGTTCTCACCATCTCCTCCACGGGTGTAAACCATGCCTCGAATCCCCTCGCCTCCGGTGCACGGCGATATGATGATTATTTTAGATGTTAAAAATTTAAATTTATATTTCTCTCAGGTCGATGCATCAAAAACCACAGTTAAAAAATCTGTACATTCAGAAGTATTTTAACCCATTAACCCATGTTAACAACTAACTGACGCTCCTAGAGCTCTGGGTTTTGTGAATTGAATCGGTGGGGATGGAATTCGCGACTTCAGATACCCGACTCCTAAGTCCACTGCCTTTGGAAACACTGGTGTTACCTCCCCCAAATATTTAAATCCGTGCATGAAATGCAAAGAGAAAGAGTTGCTTTTAAACGAGAAATGTCAAAAAGAGAGACCTTCTATTTGTTGATTTCTTGTCAGAGCGAGAGCCAAAGCGGGTGTTTTATTTTAGCTCAGCGTGTCTGTCCTTGGCTTCTCTAGACTGATCAATAATTACCAAATCTGTATAATTATATGTGTGCATTGGGTGAATCACTGCGACAAGTGGTAACAGATGTTAAGCTGTGCTCCCGAAGTCAGAAGGAGACGGGTTTGCTTGTCACCTAATCCCTTTTCTCTTCCACTTAGAAAGTCATTCATCAATAGCAAGTGTGTATATATATATTGTTTTACATCAAAACTTCTGCTAACACCTATTCAAACAAGTGGTTTCGTTAAAACATGGATAATATAAATTACTATATTATTTAATCTGTGATGGCACGAACATGTGGTACCTTTATGTTCCTATTAAGTTAACTTGGGAAATAATGGCAGGGGCTCTGATAATTGAATTCTGTATTATTTTTTATTAAAATTTAAATAAAACCCTATCTATTATACCACAGCATACGATTTAAAACTATAGAAGATACAATTAAATAACTTCCAGTCATTTCATAGCCCTAATCATTGAACGTATTTTCAGAACTAGAAACATGTATCACTAGCCGCACAATACTATTCTTTAAAAAATGCTCTCTAAACCCCCCCTCATTTTATTTCATTTAATGCTACGGCCAAGAGGCCACAGCTCCAGTGAGTTCTCGTTGCTTTGGGGAGGGCCGGTTCTGTGCCACGATGCTGATTCGTGTCCCCTGATCTGCTCCGAGCCGGCCGGCAGCTCATCCTAAAGGCCCCAGCCACTAAGGGTCCTTCTCAGAAACCCGCGTGGAAACATTTCACCAACTCCTGCGCCCCACTGCGCTTTATGGGCAGAGGTTTACGCCGCTCCATCCCTAGCCTTGTCCAGAAATACCTCCCACGCTTTAAACCTCCCAGTACCGCTCAATGATTTTTTAATAAAATGTGGCTTGGGTGCATCAAACGTCAGGAGGCAGAGGAAAGTGTCCCCGACCCTGCCAGCCGCTCAGCATGCAGCGGCCTTGCAGACGCGCGTCAGGGCCTCTCCTGTCCTCCCTCCTGCCGGCCAGATGGAAACAGCCCACCTGGGAGACGCGGGGGCCGTGCAGAAAGAACCTGAAAGGAGCTCATCTGATACCCGACAGTTACACATAACACAGTCGGGAAAACCAGTATCGGTTATTAGTGGCGCTTCCGAAGACCGGCGTGGTTTTACAGATGTCACTAGGAGCCTGTTGCGACCAGAGGTCGGCCAGTCACTTGTGATTCCGAGGCCGGGTGTGTGCGCAGTGGGCTATGCTCCGGTGTTATATTTGGTTTTAATATTCTGTTGCGCCTGCAAATTTCAATGAATATTGATTGGATTAGAATTATAAGCCAGCCGGCGGAGTATCGTGGAAGGTAATGTAATAACGGCCTTTAGGGCTCACACAGGCAACTTTATTTCGTGTAAATCAACAGATAAGTCATTTCAGCACCTGCACCGTCTCACTTCCGTGCTGCTTTTTCTTGGATACTGAGCCCAAAATATCTGATATCAACAGTGGTAGCCTCTCTATCTTGGGGGAACCGAATACACAGATGCAATTTTAAAGAAATCCTGGGAGTGAATCCGTTTTAAATACAGTGAGCACACGTACGTGTTTACATAGAATTTAAATACTAATCCAGAGAGGCCCGTGGGCAGCTCGGCTGGGACCCCGGCCTTGTTGAAACGGGACGCGCCTTCCCGCCTCGCTCACGAGCTGGGAGAGGGGCAGCGACCGTGACGACCGTGGGAGAAAAGTAGGCATCGCGTGGCCCCCCAGGATGGCAGAGGCTTGCAAGTCAGAATTTTGAGCAGCACATACACAACTCCAATCANCACACAACTCCAATCAACTAATAGAGGCTGCTTCATGCCAACAAAAACATTTTCCAAGCAGCGTTCTGGCTGAGCTGGTCACGGCCCATTTGTGTGCTCCTCGGAACCGCTGCGCCTCGGCAAGGGCCAAGTTACGTTAAGCCCTGATGACGGCCCCTGTTGCACTCGAGACGCCCAAAGTTACGGGGGGAGACGTTTATGTTCTGCGAAGGCTTCAGGTAAAAGGCGGCCTCATTTCGACTCAGCAGTGTCCTTATTTAATAGAAACACGATGCCTTTGCTGGGACGAGCACCTCCCGTGCCCGCGGGCGACCAGCTGTCATTATGATAACCGTACCCAACAGCATGTGTTCAATTCCGAGCTCCGTTGGCCCCCCAAATTTAATGAGTGCCGGGTCTCGATGCCACTCAGGTGAACCTCATCGCAGGAAGGAAACAGCCGCACCCATGAGCCTGCAGCGGGCGCAGTCACTGGCTCCTTGCTGTCTTCTCAAGTCACCCCAAGGTCCAAGTCAGTCACGTCGCCCCAGATTATATTGCTAGGAAGCGAGCGGACGAAGCAGCTAATGACCCCTTAAAGCTGGTGGCTTTACGTGGCAGGATTTCTTTTCGGTTTTCGCTTGTTTGTGTTCATCCCAGGGAGCTGCGGGGTGGGGGGGGGTGGGAATCGAGGTCCCAGAGTGAGGGGCCAGGATAACCAGTTGTGCCGCTCGTCGATCGGTCAAAGTAGGCCACGTGGGCACAGCAATAAATGCCACCAGGGGGACACCAGTCAATGCCACCTCATCCTGTGCCCGGGGAAAAGAGACCCCGAGTGTTTGTATTCATATGTAATTACCGCTTCCTGCAATGTGGCACCTGACTGCAAAGATGACGTCCTTTGCTTAAGGGTTCTTATCACCTCTTCGCAGAATTCATTCAGTACTTTGAGTTTTCACCAAAATTTATGGAGGTGCTCACAGTGATCACGTATCGTTATAATACAGGCCAGGTGGGGCGAGTGGAAGCGAGAGGCCCCGGGTCTCAAGCCCACCTCTGTGTTCCCTACACGAGTCACTTTTTGGGTAGTCATGACAGAAAGTGAAATATTTGACTTCATTCTTTCTATGAAACTATTAAAAGCCAACCAAGAGAAGAATTTCCGAGGAGCGGTGAGCTCTTGAAATTAATGTAATAATGTGCTCAGGGTGCTGACAGCGTTGGTTCCAATGAATGGATTTCGGGAGTTGATCGATTAATTCGTTTCGGCCTCGGTTTCGTGAGACCCCCAAAGAGCTAATCAGTCTCTTAGATTTGTTTGTTGCGTGATAGCGAATCAGTTCGTCAGGTGGGATAGCAAAGTGTTTTGTCCAAATACAAAGCGTGGAGGGGAACTGAGACTGTGAAGGTCGCTGAGGTTAAGGGACTGAGGCAGGAAAGGTGCCTGAGGGCCTTCGAAGGGGATCCCTGGAGGCCTGTCCAGCCCTCGGCCCTTCAGAGAGGCTCAAGGGAGAACGTTTTTGAAGTGCGTCAGCTTCGTGACACCTGTATCCCGAAGGTGCGATGCTCCGGCCAGAGGACTTGTGCTAAATAAGCTCCGCGCACTCGCGTTGCTGCACATTCAAGTCTTTTAAGGCCTTTGGGTTGCCGTGAATCCATCCCCACTGCATCTTGCTGAGCCCTTGAGGTGGGAGGTTTGCCTGCTTCCTCTGGATTATCGGCAAGATTTCTGACCATACAGACAGTAAAGAGTAAACCATTAATTCAGGTGTTTTTTGAAATTTGTGTTATTCACTGATTTCAGAAAATGACAAAGTTGTTAACACTATACTCATACCCGGCGCTTTTCCTAGCAGCTTGAGAAATGCTCGCCAGGTTGAGCTGGGGTTTCAAAATATGTCGTCAACGATAATTATTGTAAAAAGAAAACACCCACCGCTTTCTCATGTCTTTTAGGTTCTTCCGCGTCTCCCCACTGCCCTTGAGGTTTTACTGGTTTCTCTCTGAAGGGAAGAGACAAAGGGATCGTTGGGGTGGGGAAAATAAATTCATTCTCTCTCTCTTTTTTTTTTTTCAATTTCCCTTAGAAAATGAAAAAAAATGACCCCAGTTTTTTTTTCTTTTTAATGACTTTACCTTCACATTCTATGCATAATGAAATTATTTTTTATGAGTCCATCTTTTCTTGGGGGGAAAATCAGTGGGAATGGTTTCCTTGAAGTGACTTCTTTGCTTCCTCTACATGACTTGGTTTTAGAATATTTACCCCAAGGAGATAAATGACACACGTTGCTTCTCCTGCTCATAGCTCATGACACGGTATCGCAAGCACGGTGCCTAGTGACCCCGGCTACGCTCCTCAGGGAACTTTACAACTGAAAACGTGCAGAGAGATGATGTCTTTATGAATAAAAAAAATAAATTTGCTTTTCAGGGAGTTTGGCCGCTGGAAAGTAAATAACCTGGCCGTTGAGAGAAGACATTTCCTTGGCTCCCCTCTGCCTCTTGCCCCTGAATTCTTCCGCAACATAAGACTTTTGGGACGTCGACCCACCCTTCAGCAAATCACAGAAAACCTTATCAAGAAATATGGGACCCATTTCTTGCTATCTGCTACTCTGGGAGGTACGACTCTTTGAAAATACTTGTGCCTGTGTGTGCTTGTGCTTAAAGGTGTGTCAATCCAGGAAACGGGTCGATTAATCCAGAGGGCCGCGGTTGGAGTAATCCTGGAATTCGCCCAGGAATCCATTCGACTCATGTGTTGAGTTTTTCCCGAGTGCCTGGGGTGGTGCTGACCGTGGGAGTCTGCGAGGTGGGTGGGTTCCGCTTAGTTTCTGCCTGGAAGCGATTCACCGCCTAACGGCACACACTGAATCCAGGCCGAGCTGCCCTGCGCCCCGGGTTGTGCTTGAAAATGAGCCACAAGCAGCGGAGGCACAGATCAGGCCATCGCCTCAGGTGCAGGGAGCCGGGACGTGTCCTGGAGTAAACGTTCAAGATCTGAAATCGCACTTTTCGTGCCACTTTTAGGATTTCTGATGGTGGTGGGTGTACGATATGGAAAGGATGATAAATTGTCAATTATGGTGCAAAATGGGAAGGTAGAGATTAGTAATAGGACTTCTCCCTCGGTCAGCTTATACATTTGTAAGCATTCAGAAAGCTATGGTTTAATATCAGGAGGTATGTACTTTATTACGTGTATTTCAGCGCTTTCCATACACTTAAATGATATTTTGGGAGATGGTGTCTAACAGGAAAAACGTAACATTTGCCTGAAACTTAAAACTATCCCAGAGTTCCATGTATTTTACTTCGTGTACGATTTTAAATAATGTCCAGCCGTTCCATTTAGAAACGGGCGTGTTCTTTCCTAGACTGAAGGGCACCGAGGAGAACTGGACAGAAAACCAGCGGGACAGTGTGAGTTTCTCAGTCCGTTTCCCGGAACTTGGCCGACTGACCTGCACCTGTGGGCGGGTGACAAGGGAGCTCACCTGTCCTTGGTCTTCCCAGCCTCAGGTGGCGAGTCGTCTCCTCCCTCTTCCCGCCAGTCCAGCCTGTCAGCAAGCCAGGCCTGTTGACTCCTCAAAAATATGCCCCACATCAAACCTTTCCTGACTTCCACCCGGACGTCCCCAGACCCAGACCTTCATGTATCTCGCGGGACACCCCTAAGGCCCGCGCTCCACGCACGTCTTCTCAAAACTCAAATCAGGATAAATCATGTCCTGCTTTAATTAAAACCCATAACTGTGCACTTAAAATACAATCCCAGTGTCTGGCTGTGGCTTATAAGGCTCAGTATGAATGATCTGACCAAGGCCTTCCTCTCAGACTTCATCTCTTTTTATTTTATTTTATTTTATTTTATTTTATTTTATTTTATTTTATTTTATTTTATTTTATTTTATTTTATTTTTTTATTTTGTTTTGTTTTTTATTTTATTATTTTATTTAATTATTTTATTTTTTAATTTAATTTTATTTTATTTATTTTATTTTTGTTTGACAGTTGTGAGACTTTAAAACTCATTAAGTACCTTCTCTGCTCTTTCAGTTTCTTTTTAGTAGAAAGGGGGACAGCAACACCTCCAGTGCGGGGTCCCTGTGTGACACAACTTAAACACGGGATGCACGCATGTCATTGCTGTCACAGGAGTGCGGAGAGCCAAAACAGATCACAAAATCTCCCAACAAACACGAGCACGCGTTCTGTGCCCGCCGTGTCTCTCTGGCTTAGTAACGTCAACGATTACGAACGCACTAAAAGCCGGAGCAGCGGTAGAAAATTGTTTCCATAACATCTCGTTTTTAAAAGCCCAGCGGTTTCGAAACACGTACACCCTGCCAGCCAGGCGGGGGCCCAGGAGAATTTCAGGGACCGAAATGTGTTCTGCAGACAGGAAAGGAAGGGACGGAGGAGAGACAGAGAAGCGAGGGGAGGATTCTCAGGGACGCGGCCCTTTCGTCGCAAGGCGATGGTGACGTTTCGCATCAGCCTTGGCCTCAAGGAGGCCGCGCTCGGGGTTTAAAGTTGGTTCTGTAGGTTTTGTGTGGGGTTCAGCCGCTTCTTCAGGGTGACTGTCCCCGGGACTGCCATACGCTGTTGCTTCGCTTTAACTTTTGGAAAAGTCTCGTTCCAGCCCCTTTTAAAGGTTTTTAAAGGCTTTTCGAAGGGGTGGCTGGCTTGCCGCCCTCGCCCGCCCGGTCCCGGGTACCCCGGGGATTTCGTTTTCCTGGCGTTTTCTGTCCGAGTTCTTTTAACTCCCTAAATGTTACTTCTATTTCTCTCCAGGGCTCTGTTGGGTGATGTTAATAATTTAGCTAAAATACATGAAATTATTTGAGTAGCTTAAGGATATGAACTATTTGCAATTAAAATGCGTACGAGGTTGATTTCAGGCAATTTTAAAATTACGGCTGTTGTAATTACACTGCAGCTTTTTGCTGCTCTAAGACCATTTTGGCTCCGTATGTTTTACCTGACTGAACGGGAAATTGTATTACTCCAGTTTTTGTTTTTTTAAATTCCGATTGGTGGTATTTAGCTTCAGCTAATTCTCTCTCACGCTCCTTAATTAACTAATACGAAGAAACAACTCTAATACTAACACATTACGGATGTCAGGTACACAGCACACATTTTAAACAAAAAGCCAGTTATTTTAGAACTAAGGGGCTTCCGAGTGACTAGATTTTCAGCTAAATGTAAACATTTTTTTAAAAACAAGTTGAGTGTAAAAAATGACTCTCAGTATTAGAGTGATGAAAAGGAAATAAATAAAAATATGAATAAATAAAAAGAGTTATTTAGACATCATGTTACTGACTTAGACATAAAGCTTTGGATAGCAGATTGGAAGCCTTAAATGGGATATTTTATGATAGATAAAGCCAGTGATTGAATTCTTCCTATAGGGAAAATAAATTACTAAAAAAAAAACCCCTTCTTTAATATATATCATTTCCCCCATTTATTTCACCTTATAGCTTCCAGACTATTTGTCAGTATAGAAACTCAGCCTGCTTGTCTTCGGATAATGATTCCTAAACCCCATCACTGCTAAATATATAAAATAAGCTGCTCAATTTGCAGGATCGATCTTGGAAAAGATTGCTCTCCTGGGATATAGGGATTCCTAGCTAAGGGATATATTTCACGACTGTTTTTATAATAAATTTAATTATGATAAATAAATGACAAATCTGGAAGTAAAAGTGTATCTGTGTGTACTGAATGCAGACATGCAAAAAAAGAAAAAAGTTAATAGTAAAAAAAAAAAAAAAGACAAAATCGGGGGGTCACTTGGGAGAGAAAAGGGTGTCCCCTAAAAGGCGGCAGGCTGAGTTCCAGGTCCATAGAAAAGTAGTAAAGAAGGTGGGGACCAAGAAATTCATTTAACATTTTACGAAAATGTCATCGCAGGCATTTCTGATGATTTTAAAGGCGGCCTGGTTCTCACCCCAGAACTGCAGGAACCTGCCTAAGAGTCGGGGGCGCAGCCCTGAGCCCCCCCGGCGTGACTCCCGAGTGGGGCCTGGTCCCCGCAGCCCCGCGGGCGCAGCCAGGAGCGCGGGGACCGCAACAGCAGCGCGAGTGGAACCCCTTCCCTGGAAGAGGCGTGCAGGAAACACTACTCTTTCCCTGATAGAAATACCTTTAAAAACTGGGCCCAAAAATTCTTCTAGGAGCCGACAGATTAACATATTGATTCGTCCATTTTTACAACTTTGAAAGGTATTTTTTCGTTTTGAGCAACTTGAGGACGAGTCCAGGGGGCCCCTGCTTTTGAATATGGAGCTTTAAAAGCCATAGTTACATTTTTAGGGAAAACAGTTATAATTTTCTTTACCGGTGAGTGTTCTGAAAGCTTTTTCAAGTGCTTCTGATGAGAATGTTTCTTGTGGTTGCCATATCGCTCAGTTTAAGCATTTCTTCAGATATTCCGTTTTTTTAAAGGCAGACCCTGTTTTCTTCACTGATGCAATGAGAAAATGCACGATCGATGACCAGCATAGTGTTAACTTACGAGGCTAGTTATTTAAAATAACGAAAATACCCTCAGTGACAGGATAGTGTGCCAGTCACCCAGCCCGCATAACTTATTTAGTCCCAAAGTATTAGCGGGTGGCTTGTGCGTGTATCTCCTTCAAAGAGAGAACAGAATTCAGAAGTCAGGTGGTAAGACACCAGATGGATTATCAATTAGATTTTTTTTTTCTATTTTCTTGCATCCCCAGAAGTGTAAGAAATGTAAATATTCTCATTTAATTTCAGAGGGACGCAATTCTCACTTATATCTGTGTGAATTACATGCCGTGCAAAGTATCCGCAGATTTTAAGTCCGTGTCATGTACCAGCTTCTTTCAAAATCGACTCGGGCCTGTCTTTCTCACTTCTGCTTGGGCGCCTCTTAGGAAGCACAGGTGTCTTTTATTTTAACTTAAGAGTAACCCAGTTAAGGAAGCAAACCTGTCAAAAATATATGCAATTTATTTCGCAGGCAGATATGAATACTTTTTGAAAATGCATGGAACTGTTTCCTCCACGAGGATGAATATTCTGTTTTAAGAAAAAGAACTGAAAGGAAAAGAAATATTTTCTGAAGCTTCATATCCCAGGAAATCATTAAAGTAATGACACTGACGGGGCAAAAAGACTGCCATGCTGGTGTTTAAAACCGAATATTTCCTCATAGGACTTAAGATTAATTATATGGGTTCCTTCTTCTGTTTCTCTCTCTGTCTCTCTTTTTCAAGGTCTCTCTCTCATCTTTATCCCTCAAGTTTCTCTGGTAAACAAAATGAAAAGGTTGAGATGAAAGCAATCCTGTTAATTAACTTGTAATCATTTATAAAGCAGTTACTGACTCAATGGACTTGAACCCATTTATGCAAATAATAGTCAGATAACAAAGAAGAAAATGAGATGAAAATCGCTACGTCAGTTGATCTTAGTAATGAGATTCCTGGCCACTAATTCAAAGGATGGACGTTCGGTTTTAGGGTATTACAAGTCTGATTATATATATTTTTTGTGCTCCTTCACAGCACTTTGCGAAGGCAGGTAAAGGCCCTGCCCACTGGTTGGACAGGTCGGGATCCATGAATCGGGGTCCCCACGCCAACCAGGTCTCTGGGTGACTTGTATGCACATCCAGTTTTGAACAGCCCTGTTTAGAGTTTCTCTCTAAATTCAGAGTGTTCTCAAGGGCTCCAGAAATCTCCCTTCCAAGAATCCGTCTTACCCAAAATAATAGCAGGAACCTGTTCACCCCACATAAAAATGCTCCCTGTAGCGCTGCTGGTCAGCAGCTCCAGACTGGAAGCACCTTCGTTTCAGCTCGCTCGGGGTAGATTCCTTTCCTCTAACCTTGGAGCTATTTATTTCCAATTTCTTCCCCCCCCCCCCATG